CGTGTGTTTGAACTTGAAACCATCGTACTTGCGACGCCATCGTAAATGTCATTATAAAATTTATTGGGTAAGTTCGGAGGAAGTTTATTCAGATTCTGGTCTAAAAGGGCGGGGGTTCAAATTTAGTTAAAACAAATCTGAGGATATTAGAAGTTCTTTCAAAATCTCAAGCCAAAATATCTGTATTCGATCGCACACAAAATTAAAAAATACTTCATTTATTGTGGTGTTGTGGCCATAGTATCAAACTCCAATATATTCATGTGGTGGAATAATGGGTTCCGACACACGCTTCATTCCTACCACATACCATACCATTCAGCTCGTAATATATATTCATTTGGGATCGACAAAGTTAATTCGTGAAGACCCCGATCCATGTAAAATCACGGGGGCCTTTTCACAAACGTACTGCGATTTTACCCAAGATTTGTTTGATATAAGAGCGTGTATAACAGCATGAAAAAGAAACAACTATTATCAGTGATTTTAATTAAAAATCTCATTAATCAACTAGATGAACTGTAGGCTATTTTATTTAACTGGTCATAGTCATGATACTACATAATAAAAATATGAATAAGTAGATAACCTAATTGTTATTTAGTAGACTATTGCTATGTGTGAAATAACTATGAATCTATGCTCATATAGGCAAAACATCATGACCACTTGCCCACTTTTTTTGTCGTTCATATGGAATATACTTTTTCGTTTTTAGAAATATTCTTAAACTTTGAACAATATACACAATTCAGTTGATAATGACTTCCAAGAAAATATCTTAAAAGCATAAATCAACTTCCTTGTTGATCTGGTTGATTGCCTAACAATAAGACTACGATGCACTCGTTTTACTCAGGGTTGCAAAGATAAACGCAATGCTGCAAAGTCTGCAGTGAAAATTGAATCGAGATCTTCATCGTTGATAGCAAATAGACCGGGTACGTCTTTGGTGGAAAACCTGAGATATTTTGGTACTTTTTGATAATATTTCATATACTTGCACCTAAAAACTACATGAAGTCCTCAATTTTAACAAATTACTGGATAAAATCTCGAGCCAGGTCGTAGCAATTAACGATTCCCTTGATCTTGTTGTTGGCATATAACTAGAAATCCAACAAAAACGTACGACGACAAAATGGAGAAAATAATAGACAGAACAATAGACGAAACAATGAAGCAATGTATACAATTTTTTATACAGTTAATGATACCCGTAATCTATTTTCCGTTAGCTTAAGAATGACGCAACCGGCAACATTGATTTTGTGGAATTTTTAATTGTCAAATTAGACCGTATCAGCTAGCGGCTCCGTGGGTTTTCAATTTTTTAATTTTTTATTTTTTTATTGGGGGGGTCCTCAATCACGGAACGAATCACGTGTCTTTCGAGTCTCCGGTCGGATGGGGTTCATGTCGAGTCAATCACTGATCTAAGTAGCCTTGGTGGCTAGTCAAGTGTAAGCCACATACATTACATTTAAATTCAGATTCGATTCACTTCGAATCTTTGATAAATAGTTACTCGAATTCAACTCGAGTCGAATCAATAATACGAGCTGCAATCCCAACCTCGAGATATTTGCTAATGCACATTGTCAGGACAATAGGGTGAGACGTGAGAACAGCTCATATAACCTATAGTTCTGTTCATTTATCAAATATTAGACAAAGACGTTCACGGTCTTGAAAACAAGAAACCCAAAAGTTTTTTTATAATGATGGCTGATCCGATTATGACTAATACTTGTAAAATCTCATTGGGCGTATATGAAAATTGCCGTGAATTCAAGGTATGATTACACCCTCTGAATGAAAAATACAAAAACTTAACGCCTGATTACTTTGAAGCAACAACCGGAGAGTCGAGCATTTATTTCCTCCGAAATATTTTAAATATGCAGAGCAAACCGTCTGAATAATGAAGCAGTTCACCTAATTGACCGGCATTAGAAATGATTAGCTTATTATCGGTCTTGCACCTATTCTGACATAGCCTTGGTCTTGTTACCTTTTGGTGAACATAAAACATTCATATCTACTTTAGGTATAATAATTTATATAATAATATGCCAAGATTTACTGCGATTCATTTGAGAAAAATTATATTGAATTTGTTGAAAATTCACATTCACTTATAGTGTTATAGAATTTATAGTTATGTTTCTGTATTACGCATGCATAAAAGTAGAAAGTCGAAACTTTATCAGTAAGTCGTAGCGCTGCAGCTGACTATGTAAGGATTGCTTAATTCTAGTCCACCGCCTAATCCCAGGTTCAACACATTTGTGAGGCAAAGCCCAGTCGGAAAATTTCAAAAATCGAGCTTCCTACGTATATGAGTGACTTACGGACTAGTCTTGCGCGCTGTTTGAAACAAAAAAACGCATAATAACTATAAATTATGTCAGGAATAAAAGTTAGATATCAACTATGTTAGCAGCTTCAAAAGCTGTTTTTCATACGACATTTATTTTGACTTTCGTTGACATCAAACGGAATGTCAAGGTCATCAATTTGTGTAAGAGACAGCATCTTTCGGATTCGACCGCCAACATGTTAAACAAATATTTCACGTACACACTGATTACTAATATTGTTAAGTTATACGATGCAAACAACTTTGGAATACTGCGGGAAAGAATGTGGTTTAACAAAAGAGATTTTAAAATTTTTTTAAAGAGTTTTCTTGGTAGGTAATACGAATAATAACCCAGAACCGATAGGAGATTTGTATTTTCCGATAAATGTATTATGTATTTAATAATGACTAATGTAATTCAAATCAAACAAATACCTTAATCAATGGCGTATGTGTACATTTGATATTTGCTGTCTATGTTATCTTAAAGATGAGCTTAGTCAAACTGCTGATTGACGAAATGGAAGTTTTCGAGGTTTGTGTAATCACTGAAACGTAAATACAAACCAGAATTACAAATGGCCTATTTATCTTTATCCAACCAAGTTTTCTGGTCATTTCACATTGGCATCGTAAAAGTTTTGCAGCTATGTTATGTCATAAGTATAACTTTATTACATGTTTTACCAACACGGATTCATTGAAGAGTTCAAATTCAAAGTTACGTTTCCATCTGCGCCTTCACGAAATTTATACAATATGTGTTTTATTATAGTCTGATTTGCTTTATTCCAAAATTATGGATAGAAAGAAGATGGAATAATTTTGAAGTGAAAATATTAAATTTATGCTGTTGTAGAGTTTGTTTTAGGATTGTGTGTTTCATTTTTCCTATAGCTCTCCGAGTTTACATGACTTATGATCAATATTTATCACAATGTTTCTTATAAATTACTCAAACTATTTTGAAGGCTACTTTCCCAATTATTTTATGTCATGAGTATACCACGAGTAATAATTTAACATCATGAGAATTCCAAATAACGTAGCTATAGGTAAGTTTACTTTCAATTCAAGTTAGCATGGTCATTTGTATAGTTTAACAATGAAAACAATCAGGTCTATCAACATCAGTTCGTGTCAAATCATTACTAATGCAACGTTTAATCAGAGATAAATTCCAAGTGACTAGCGAGTGATGACAAGGAGACTCGGTTCAATCTTCACGCTCGATAAAAGATGCTTTCCAAACAAATGACCCCATTTTGCGGTTTCGACAATGTTGACGCAATTTTATCCCAAGTAGTGAAAATACCGGTGTTGTAATCAAATATGACCATGTTTGTTTCAAGCTCAAAAGTACGAAAATTCAAAGTTAGAATAAGCCAAATTCTGATAAAACAAATAAGCGAGTAAACAACGGAATCTTGAGAAATGAAACTATGATAATGGTTCGGAGTCAAGTCTAATATTTGCAATGAGTATCTTTCTTATAATGTTGCTTTATTTTGATAAATCTCTTGAAAACTTCTTAATGACTCATGTTATTTTGTGCCTCATCTGATAAAAATATGTATATTGGGTATATTATGTCTCCGTTAAGTTGAATCTAGTCTAGACCGATTTCAGAAAATACAAAGTTTGCTCCATTACCTCTATGAGATATTAGTAAACGTCAATCCTGCTTTCAATAATTTGTTTTGATCTTCGAACCACTTGAGACATTCCCAATGATAGCAATTCCGTGCCAGTGACACAGGTAAATATATTTGGGTCGTAAGAATCATGCCACATATAGGGCAGATTATACTAAAGAAGCCTCCAAAATCTGGGAACAATACCTCGATTTGCGTCACTTAAAATTCTTATGTATCATCCCATGCGTGTCTTCACAGATTACCAAATGGAAAGTTTTAATTTCATCAAACAATCTTGATACAAAATTTAGTACGTGGTATAAAAATATGTACCAAAAATAACAACAAAAATAGACTTTTGTGAGGGACCTAAAGATTTCTTGATTATCCAAAAGTCGATATAATCCTTATATGTACTTCTCAGTATATTTTACTTTCCCAACTCAATTGTACTGGCATGATAACTTAAAGATCTATTGTAAAACTACATGCGTTGTTTTTCTTGAGTATTTTTTTATGGTAGCGACTTGGAAGGGGATTGTTTATTGTCTCTGAATCTTGAGAGACATTAACTTTAAACTGAGAAAAAAAATGAAATTCTCTAACTAACATGCGTCTGGCGCGTGCGTGCGTGCGTACAATCAAAAAATAATAATTCCCGTGTAAAAAAACAACACAAGGTCCCAGTCTAAGAGTGACGGAAGTAGGAGAAGAAGAAGGCCATCTTCTTTTATTTAGTTTCACTTAGTCAAATAGAAAGGAAGCATATAAAACTGGGGAACCCAAATAACTTACTTTATTCTTAAGCTTACAGTTGAGCTTTAAAGAGCAATTGCCATTGTAACTTGTGCTTTACGAAGCAAACACAAATCTGACTTTTGGGTGAGGCGAATCAGAGAATAAAGAGCAAATGGAATTCCACGCCGCGATATCGGTGGTGATGGTTTTTGCAATGTCCTGCCTCATGGACGGTAAATACTTTTTAATATTAATTCTTAAGAATATAGAATGTAATATTCTGGTTCAAGTCATTTTGGAGTAATAATTTAGGTTGCACTTTTTACTCTTTTTATGTATAGATTTTTTAAAAAGATGCTCAGGTACATCCTATAGCATCCTATATTCACAAAGTTGCAATTATTCGCTAGTAGTTGGACTTAACTGTATTGACATGGCAACTTAAAAATATAATATAAACCAACATGCGCGCCACCTTATCCACGGTACAATTGCATTCAATTGTTCGAGTACGTGTGCCTATGTGAAGCCGAGTGGATTTTTCCAAAGATAATTTTCTAAAAATATTAGCTTCGTAACTTCGAAGATTTAACCCAGCGGTTCCTAAACCGCGGCCCACGGTCACTTACGGCCCGTGTAACGATTTAATGTGGCCCGTAGAACTTGAATGAAATAGTTTAACACTTTTTTTTACCTTTTTGCGTTCTAGATACGCCGTTGTTACGTCATTATCATCAGTTTAAGCATTCAATTATACCGGTATCTTAATTATACGTATCGGTATTGGGATTGCACACGAGTCGCGCCCTTGAGTGCTCTCCCCCTCCCGGCCCCCGAATATTCTTCCGCTTCTAATTTTTGCCCCCGGTTAATCAACTTTGGTAACCACTAATTTAACCGAACTAAATGCGATAAAACATCACATTCCCTATTAAGAAATTGGGGTCCATTCGTCATTTACTACTGCTGGGTCTTGAAAGGAACACCGCTATTCTACACACTTTATTTCCTAAGGCAAAAATATTCAATTGAAAAAAGGAGATAAAGTTCATTTCAAGTATTTATTTTAATTCCTTTAGAATGCGCGGAACGTGAGTTATTTGAGATATGAGAAATTTTCACTTGAATCATCCACGGTTCAAACATATCGTACTGTAGGGTGATGTAGCACCGTGTTCTAGTAAATTGCTTTTGCGTGATGATATTCGCAAAGAACAACTTTACAAACTCGGCGTTTGAGAGTTTTCATAAGGTCGCTAATATGTTTGCAATACAGTATTAGAAATGCCAAAATACGAAATTTGTGCATGTTTTATGTTTGTGGAAATCTTTTACCAAATTCAAAATGTAATTTGAAATCGGTGTGGTTTTCATGTTAAAACAGTCCAGTTCCATCTTTAGTTGTGTCATTCATCTTATTTGCATATTTCGTTGAATTTATTTTCCAACTATGCCACTCGGATAGTACTTCAGCTATTCTTCGACGGCGTAGAAGTGTTTGTGCCGTACTTTCGAATATGTATTGTTCGAACGTGGAAAAATAAACATTATAATTGGCATGTTTTGCGCAATAATGGAAAATCTTCGAAGGTAGCTGTGATATGAGAAAAGTTAGATTGACTTTGGCCCCATATTGCCAAATATTATATTAATGAATAAATAATCCACAGAAAGACCAAATGATGCATACGTCACTGGGGCGTATCGGAAAACCATCGCAAATATTAAAACGGCCTTATCATTTTATTAGTATTATATTGCCGGTTTTATTTTGCACGTTAATCAATCAAAATCTCAAACTAATTTATTGTCGTTCGTTTGTCAACCCATTTGTCTGCCTCGTAGATCGAAATATAAACAATCAACGCACATCCAAACAACACGTACAAAAACAAATATCTTGAACAAAATTATTTCAGAAATCACGTACATAAAGAAGATAGATATACAGAATATAATCACCTTTATGAAATCTAGTTACCTGTAAATTGTGGCCTGAAAGCCCCGATCGAAACTATTGTTAAAATACGATGCGGTGTAAATTGTGCGACGAACTTTAACATATCGTCACGTTCAAAACGACGAACAAACTATTGAATTAACGTGTGTGGGCTCGAATATGAAATTTATGATACTTATTGTTGGGTTTGCGGCACACAGCTATGGTGATCGTCTTAGGTGTGGAAACTTGGTGGCTTTAATATATTTAAAATTCCCATTTATATTAATATTTATCATCTCAAGTCTTGTCATAAATTTTAAATCAAGATTAGCATTCACGGGACGATGTGTTTTTTAGAGTACCAATTTCTTTTGGCTTTGGCATAGTCAGCACAATTCATTTCACCCTTAGTGATATGGTGGTTATAGATTGAAACCTCCAAACTTTTGTTTTGCGTCAAATACTATCTATGAGCTCAGTTCTGAAACACGAAATATCTGAACAAAAAAAATCGAAATAATGACTAAATCGCTTTAGGTTTGATTAATGAAATATCTATGAAAAGCTGTAATGATAAAGCATTGCAACTAAACTTTACAAATTATTATTAATTAATTGATTCACATGCAATTGTATCTAAAAAAATTATTATCGTAATAATCGATGTGAGAAAACGCAGTTGTAAGCAATAAATTATTGCTCCAACTGGACCCAACAAAAAACATTCACTCTAGCGTGAAATTTTAATTTAAGTTTAGAAGTTTAAGAGCTTTTAAGTTTCTGCATTGTAATTTATTTGTCACGCCCTAAAGGGAACATTTGAAATTAGATGATCACTGTCCCGAAAATACCATAATGGGATGGTTAATGTATAATGTATAATCAAATACAAAAACATTTTTTAAGAAATATAATTTATATAATGACTATAAAATTACTAATTTAGAAATGACGAATGCTTTCTTACGACATATTATATTCGAAGTAATGGGCTATTTAGATATCGTATTGCATTTTATTATGTTAATATTACATTGAATGGCATTGAATATATAAACGTTAAATAGAAACAATAGGTTTGTAATTAAACACTTGTCAATTATAGAAATTAACAAACAAGGAAGACTATCAATGGGTAATAAAAAACAAACAAAATCATTTATGTTAAACTGCAATACATTTTCCAAAAATAAATTCAAAGCATTTTTAAATGTCTTTCTTGTCACGTATCCAGTGAATGACGTCATACTATAGACGAGTTATACGTGCCGAAATAAACAATTGCTTGATTTAAATTCTCATGTATCAAATACAATCCTTTTCGATGAAACACGACGCTGGTGTTTTATTTGCTTAACTTTTATATTACGCTTCCGCCAGTAGTTTTACTGGGGTACTTCGGTTCCAGCGATTTATATTCTTTCGCGCTCAGACACATATTTAAGTTTAAGCCAGGTTTGATCAGCATTGGTAAGGTGATGATATATAAATCGCATTAAAATATTTCATTGCCAAACATGAAACATGATTAGCCGAGCGTTGCTGAAAACGCATTTTTGCTTAAAAATACTTTTGCAAATGGGAAGATGGAGTAGTATTACGCAATTGTATTACAAACAAACACACTATCCTTTTTTTGCTTGGGGATGCAAGTGCTAAATTGTGATATGTAGTCAAATGTGTTATTAAGAAATGTAACTGATATTCAATAAGTAAAAATAGGTAACGCGTCAACATCCATGAATATTATTGATATATACATACTATCAAAATCTAGTGTTGATTGTATTTTTGCATGCAATCTATATGAGTTACCCGTGGAATCAGGTAAATTCATGTTATGTTAAACAGGTAATGAATTACTTCACAAATTTCCATATCAATTGTGCACTTGAAATCATATTTTGAATAACCAATAACTGTTTTATATTTTTATTATTTCAGCTCAAGTTCAAGATCAGTAAGTACTGTTTTATTTTTATCATTATTTTAATAAAAAAGAGTAATGGCACCGTAAGTGCCACATATTTGATGTTTTTTACAAAATAATGTTTGTGCATTGGAATGAACAATGCGTGAAATTACAAAATACCGCGCAAAATTTGGAAAGTAATACCTAGACCGCAAAATAAAGAAAATATATGTCTGCAAACTAGCAGAGCTTGGCAAAGACCAATGACTCGGAAAATATGTATCTGCCTGACTTATCATCAATTTTAAAAGAGTACACAATAACTTCTTTTACTTCTGGTGTATAATGTTACGAAATAAATAATAAATTTTAATATTCGCATGAAATTTGGCAAAACACGGCAAACGCAAATTAACTTTTTTCACGAATAAGAGAGTAGTGACATAACGTCTATAAAGGTCGATATAATCGTATAACTGATCATTACCGACTGAAACTTTTTTTGTGTTGTCTCAACTTCATCGGGCGCATGCTTTTAAATTAACGAGAACATCTGGCACGCTCGCGCATTGACCCAACTTGACTGAAATTGCACCCAAGTCGTTTGCAATTCGATCTAATTTCCAGTTGTACGAGTCAACAATATGGGTTCGTTAATTGTACGACACAAAGGACCAACACTCAAAACGTGACAATGAAATAATGTTTTGCTTTGCGGCTTAAAAATTCAATACCATTCCTTCAATGATCCACAATTCCAACGCATTGAAATTGGAGAAACATTTGCCCTTTTCTTAGCTACGTGTATTTAGAAAAATTGAAGTTTTACCAAGCTGGTATTTGTCTTGAGAGTTTTTATTCACGAATATTTCGAAAAAAAAAATGTGCGTATGAGGTAAAATATCACACTGGTCAAAAACACAAAGGGACTGCCACCGTTACTAATTGCAATCTTGTATCTCGTGTTTATTTCCGGAATATGGAAATTCTCTGTGTTCACTTCCTTGTACTCATTTTGAATCAAATAAATATATATATACATTTAAGTAATGAATCTTTTTTTAGAAGTCTAATCGAAAGTTAAATCGAATAATATGCAAAGAAACGATCCACTTCTGATCTTACTTCTGGCGTTAATCCGGAGAGTTTTGAGAAATTGTAATGCTTCGTACGAATCAATTTGGCGTCATTTGACTTTTCCCGTCATGTTTGACCTGCGGTGCTACGATAGACTTTATCATATCACGATGTGGCAATTACTGCTCCATAGCGCCATACATCACCAATATGATTTTTATTCGAGAGCACTTTACAGTTATTCAATCCATGAAAGACGGGAGAACTACCCTCACAAATTAATAATAATGAATAATGAACATTGCGAAATTATATTTCGAAATGTTTCAAATTGATCAGTTAACAGCAACAGAGTCATCTTATGACGGAACGTGTATGTCACAGGATAACGCTAAGAATACTCTCTGAAGTTTTCAATTATACGACACTTTAAAAGAAAGATATTTATTGTCGGGAATTTCTAAAATCCTTGTTCTGGTTGTTAAATATAATATTCAAACTAGCATAAACAAAATATACCAATCTGATCAAGAAGGTGAAAAAAATCACAACCTGAAGATAGATTATAGATCGAGTCAGGCAGAATCTTGCGTTTGAAATTTATGTCTCGTCAAACCTAAAAATTTAGTTCCTTAAATAGGTTCAGCATGACGACGCGACCCAACACCGGGCGACACAAAGTTAACGCTGTGGTGCTTTAGATGCAAGCAATACATTTTTATCGCCAATGACACTGATTAGAATTAAGGTTTCAAATGTGTTTGAGTCCAATTTTTAGAAACAGACATTATATTTGTCTAATTGCCCATCACGTTTAATTAATATCGTTAGGCTGTTTCGAGAGTGTTGGCAAGGCATCATTTGACGAGTCGTTGCAGCGTGATCCATCATCCATTAATTTAAAGCTTAACATCCAAATGAGTTTATTGTAAATTTAAAATTTTCGAGTAATTATTCAGTTTTAACAATTGATGTATTTTTTTTGTATACTTGCGTATTATTAATATTTTCTATCCATATGTTCAGGTCATGCGGAGGACTTCATGACGAAATGAGTGGGACAATTGAATCGCCGGGTTATCCTAATAATTATCCTCCGGACCAACACTGCAAATGGGACATTCCTAAAAAAGATAACTACTATATTCTTATCACTACAGATGATTTTCTGTTAGACGAACCGTACGACGGCAAATGGTAAGATATGTTAATAAACTTTATTTAAAAGCTTTGGTGACGCCATGTATTTAAAGATTTCTCGTCATGAAGACGTGATTTTTACAAACTTTTTTCAACCAAAATAACTGGGTCATATACATATGGATCAATATTGGAGGGGGCAGTAAACTTAGAAGTGGTTTGAACATATATATTGCTTTTATATACAGCGTGTCTCAAAAGTAAGTATACACTTTTAATTTTAACTTGCTTTTCAGGTACTCATCATAAAGCGTTCATTTCTTTAGAAAATATAGTATGGATATGTAGTAAAATTCAGGTATTGTTTGCATTTTTTAAAAACCCACAGAATGACAAGGAGATTAACCCATGAAATGAGGTGAAATGAAGTGCTGTTTGGCAAAAAGCATATAAATAAGACAAACTCAGTGCCTCTTTAACAGAGAATTTGGAATTAATTCAGCTCCTACACGACGAAAAATTTGTGCAATTCAACATAAATTTATGGAAACTGGATCTGTAGTTGATGCACAAAGATCAGAATGATCAAGGAGCGGACGCTCTGAGGAAAACATTGAGAGCTGAATTAATTCCAAATTCTCTGTTAAAAAGACGCTCGGTTACTTCTTGCCAAACAGTAATTTTGCAATTATTATTTTGGTTAATCTCCTTGTCATTCTGTGGGTTGTTGAAAAGTGCGAACAATGCCTAAATTTTACTACTTATCCATGCTATGTTGTCTGAAGAAATGAATGCTTTATGATGAGTACCTGAAAAACAAATCAAAATTAAAAGTGTATACATACTTTTGAGACACCCTGTATTTCCTATTTTGGGTAAAGACAAGCACAAAATTATGGGATGGGCAAATGGGACAGTCAAATAAAAAATCCTGGATTTCTGGATTCCTGAGAAAACGATTTGTTAACAAGCTGATTATTCACACGAGCATCATTTCACGAAAATACTTTCCAAACAAGTAAACCATTTGTTGATCTTGGCGATTCCTGAAAAAATTATAGATGTATATCATAGGTTACTCTGTGAGTTTTCGAAGTCTAGATTCAAACTAGCTCAATGTACTATCAGCTATTCTTTGTTGAAATAGTAAAAACGTTTTGTCAACATCATTATCAAAAAATATAAATTCATTTGAATATTTAACAGCTAAGCAGAACGCGGGAGAGTATTTGTTATATATATTGAGAATTTCCAAACATCTTGACCCATTTCAGCAAATGCCCTTAGCAAATGTTGCAGATAAATGAGAATTTGCACAAGTCTCCTCAAAAGCGGAGGGGAACGCATTTTAATATGATTATGACACCATATTATATATTTATATATGCATTTTTTTAAACGTTTCTTTTCTAATATCTTTAATTTCCAAATTTTTAAAAGCTTGGACTACTTATCTATCGAGAAAGAAGAGTTCTGTGATAAACAAAACTTTACGAAAAAGTATTACGATGGTGCCACTTTAATATTTGAGTCAAATACAGATCGAGAAACAAGGGGATTCAAGACTATCTTCGAACAAGTACTCATACGTGAGTATAGCAATTGTGATGCTATAGAGCAGGGGTGGGCACGGTTTTTGAACCAGGGGCCAACAATTTTGCACACCTAGTCTGGCGGGCCATGTAAAAAGTGTGAAATGTGACGTAAAAAGTTACATTTTATAAACAATAAGCTTAATTTAACCGCAATCTCAACAAATTCCTTGAGCTATTTTCAGCTAGAACATAAGAATTTGATTTCAGTCTGGTTGTGGGCGCATCAGGTGGGCCAGATTGATTTACCCAACGGGCCGGATTTGGCCCGCGGGCCGTAGTTTGCCCATGTCTGCTATAGAGTGACATAATATTGGCTAACACAGCTGTGGTGGATGTATAGTTTCAATGAAAATATTTAATTTTTGAACAAGTAAGTTTATGAACGTGTGAACTATACCAATCGTTGTAAGCGTTAGGAATACGTTTACCATTGTACTTTTGAACCCACGTAGGGTATGGGGTCGCGGATTTGAGTTCCACAAGGGACTCCTCGTGACTGGACTCCTCGCCGCCAATTACCTCTATCATCATGCACATGTAACTGAAACAAATAGCTGGGTAACTAATTTCATACCCGATACGGACTGGTAACAAGGTACGCTATGTAAATACACCTTTTTATAGGCTCTCCTCTCCCCTGTGATAAGTATGAAAATTGTATCCTACTATATAACACGAGCATTCTCATTTTAAAATATTTCTCGATACCACTTATTCGTTTATTCATATTGAATATTTCACAGCTACTTGCAATCCACCGTGTGAAAATGGAGGAAGTTGCATTTCAAACGATACCTGTTCCTGTCCTGAGTTTTACGCTGGATTCAGATGCACATACAGTAAGTAGCCTTCCATGTTGTTGTTTTGAACTTACGAATCTTGAATATCATCTGATAACTATATATCTAATGTTTGATCATTCGCAAAAAAATGAAATAACCAGAACATTTCACTGAAATTCACTTATGCATTATATAGTTTCAGATTTTTCGATTTTCATAGTTGTAAGAACATATCGTGCTAGAAATCGCTGTATGGCGGAAAACTATTTCTTCAAAATTTTAACAATATTTTCATTGGGGCTTTATAGAAAAATTCATATTACGTTATACTAAATCAAATTCTTGCAACAACGGAAATTTTTCGTCTGGCACAAGTTCCCACTTATGTGATCCCAGAACTCAATTTTTGTTGTTTTTGGATCAAAAATATACACTTATTCTGATGTTTATCATGATATCTTCAATTATTTTAAGTAGCCAACACTTAACAATATTTTCACGGGGGTGAAAACAGAAAAAAAAACATTTCTAAGAGTCATTTTTATTTTGAATGTTTTAAAGGGATTAATCGAATTTTTTTAACAACAACAATAACAACGTTAACCATAACACCAATTTTCCAAAATGATTCGTAGGTTCACGATTTTTCGCAATGATTTGCTTTTTTTATTATCATCTTGGCAAAATCAATTTGGCATAACAAGGTCATATTTTTATCTCATTTAATTTCATACAAGTATGTTGGTTTTTCGTTTTTTTTTAACATGCTATATCTATCCATGCTCGTGAATTAAAATACTGCCAGGATTGTTAGCAACGTTAATTTACGTTTGTTAATTTTGGTTAAACGTATATATATGATTTTTAGGTTATCCTGGTCCAGATTCTTTAATACCACTCACGGATCCTCAAAGTTTTCCGGACAAGTACACCACATGTGCATTCTACGGAAATTCCATCCTCCGAACTTTTGACGACCTGCAGTATCATTTCAGAAGCTCTTGCCAGTACACATTGAGCGAATTTGGAGAGTTTAAGGTATTAAATATGACCACGCATAATATTTCAAAGTTTGTTAAGCTTGTCTATTATGTGACAATATTATTTTTATATAGCACAGATTTATAACGAAAGAAATTTGTTATACAGATTACGGTTGAACTGAGAAATAACACGATCAGAAGCAGGAGTTCACTCAAGTCTATAAAAATTACTGAAGGGGGAGTTGACGTTCTTTACATCACAAGAGATGAAAGCCAAGAAAACAAAATGGGGGTCAAGTCTACTGACGGAAGGTAAATGAATTTTCAAATAATGTATAACTTTTGTACTGGACTTTACCATTTGTTTAAAATAAAATCGTCTATTCATGCAGACATAGCTATCGCATGTGACAAAACCACCCAGGCTTCAGAAAGTGATAATAGGCAGAATGGTATTTCTTGAATGATTTTGTTCATACTTGCATAGTTTAAAACAGAATTTAATAACACTTCTCATTTACCGAATCCAATATTTGATATAGAAATTATAAGGCTCTCAGCAATATTACCTCACAAGCATTATCTGGGACTCTAAATTAAATATGTTTCAGGTTTTTGTTTAATCCATTTGAATGCTCATAGATTTGGGATTCAAATCATGATCAACTAAATTATACAAAATCATACCCACGATGGCAATATAAAAATCCGAATCTAAGCCGAGAGTTTGAATTTTTAAATTTTGATGTTATTAAAAAGAATATAAGGTGACTAAGCATTCTCAAATAACAAAAAGAAGGCCTGGCTACCAGAGTTGGAGTCAAAATTTTATCCAAAGAAAATATAATTATGTGATAATCTTTACACTATTGCACGCATTATAGCTTTGATCAAACCACCGGATATGTTGGCGTTTATCAAGTGACTGTGACGTATAGCAAAATTCTTATAAGACAAGATGGATTCAGCTTAGAAGTCGACAAAACAGGAGAAAGGACATCTCTAAAACTAGATCGTAAATATTCCGGAACAGCCAAAGGCTTATGTGGAAACTATGATACCGTAGCTTCAAATGATATGAAGACACCATCTGGTAAGCAGAGATTTTGATAAAGAAGTTAGTTACATGTCGTCAACGCCTGTCTTTTCCAAATTGTTATACGAAATCATCATCTAAAATTCCAATATATTAATTCAGTTATTTTTATTATGTCTATGATATATTTACCTATACATTAACCTTGAAGCTATCTGTATATGTACAGCATTCTGATGACAATAAATTAATCAGCTTATCACTAAAATAGAAAGAACTTTTAACTCAGACCGCTGCAGTTAAATTTGTTGGTAATTAAATAGTTAATGGACATCATTTGTCTTTTTTTTAGATAATATAGCTGATAAAGAGCTACTAGAAATGTTCCTAAATTCATGGGCACAAGACCAAACATGTAAAGTGGAGAGCACAACAATCGATACCCTTCCTCCTTACGTAAGATTGAGTCGAATTTATTTTATTGTGAATACAAATACTAATCAGACTACAGTATAGTAGGATGAGTGAATCGCTCTAGGCAGGGCATTGGATTGCATAGTGAACGAAGTCGTTACCTATCAGTGGTTAGGTAAACCTGGCGACGATCCACCAGTCAGTCATCTTAGGCATTATCATCTCAGTCATGCTATTCGAACTAGCATAAGCAGGGTATGTAGCGTTGCACATAACTAACGATTTGCACGATGGACTGATTGTCCAACATTAGCAGCCCCTCTCAGATTGAAATATTTTGTGTTGTTCATAAATGGTAGGTCAGTGTTACTCAACCCGTTTTGTTGATTTCCTTCCTTGGTCTATTTTGGAAATTTTATTCCTCTCTCACTATGAATAAAAAGTTTATTTGTTCAATCTTTATTGGTTCTTTAACAATTGATCCGCAAGTCACACTCTTACTTTCGTGCAGTTCAAGTAGTTTATAGCAAATATTGAGGGAAACCACAGGAGCCATTTCATGGGTTTAATGATACAGTGATTAGGATCAAGAATATTGTTGGCTGCACAGAAAATGCGACAAAACTCCCTTCTTGGAAGAAATTCATCTCCTCTTAGGATAACGCGGTTGTACATAGACAAATGAACAATCTGGCTGGCTTCTTATTGTCGGTTCAATATGTTTTAGATTGAATACAATTGTTCAAGCCTCTGAATTAAACTATCGGATAATTTTCAATCCTACACACATGATACAATCAAATTCTAAAATTGCTTAAAGCCAAGGAATGAGTCTCTTTCTTGCACAACATTTTGCTGATATTGATTCTCATAGATGTTGCTGAATTGTTTTTCGTTTTGTACAAATATAAAAAAAAACGTATATATAGCATTCATTGCCTGAATGAGTGAATGAAACATGAAACTATTCATTAAAATAGAAATATTTTATTCTTTATTTTTCTATTTACAGGCAGAAAAAGTTTGCGAAGTCATAAGGACAGCACCATTTGCGGAATGTAATCAATTCATTTTTTCAACCACCTATTACGAAATGTGCCAATGGGACATTACTGAATGCGGATTTACGGATTCCAATAAAGATTGTCAATGTTCTTCCTTAACACAGTATGTTCAAGATTGTATAGAACTTGGCTCACTTAGTGATCTCAAATGGAGAAACAACTACTGCCGTAAGTTTATATATCTATATACCCAAATTTTACATTTTAAGTTACTTTACTACGTTTATTAGGTTTGATATTTACAGCACTGTTGCATCTTCATACATTTGTTCTCACGGGTTCCATTAAAATCATTAAAATATGTACTCGAACCGTTTTAGTCCAATAATCTGCTGAAAATCTGCCAGTCAAGAGTGTGATTTAATATATGGAGGGTTGCCCTCTCGTGTTGAAACTATGAGTCATTTCGAGCACTACCTCAATGTCCAAAACTGCGTGTGATGCCTTTAGAATTGCGATTTTCATCCTGACACGAATATCCAATGACTTACCATAGAAAGCTGTAATGTAACGTTTATACACAAGCTTTACTGATATAAAATGGCAATGTTTTTATTTTTTAGGGATAAATGAGCTAAATTTAAAACACTAAAATAGTGTTTTTATCGTGAACATTTATTTCATTTTTTTATTCAGTGAGTTACGTTTATGTCTTTTAGAAAAAGAGTGTCCGTCGAATCAAATATACAGTGAATGTGTTTCGTTTTGTCCCAAA